ACGTACAAGGCTGCCCACGTTGATTGTGGTTGAGCGGCAGCTGCTCACATCCCCGTGTGCCTTCACGGCCCACTTGCACGTTATTTCAGGAGGCGGAGTGATACATGCTAGATGGGCAATGTAGGTTCAGCCATGGATCCGCAATGTGATGAAAAGGACTGAATGGACCATGCAATGTTAGTGAAACATAAACAGGCAACATACACCCTGATACATGCAAAATGGCGCATAATAGCGTAGCGGAAGACTTTGAGATAAGTCCTGACCTGACCGGGACTGACACGACATCCCATCATACATCACACATGTGAGAGGAAGAGGAGGGACCGCACACAAAGAAGAAAGGTCCCTCCTGGTACACGCGCATGGAGAGATACCACGGATGTGAGATGGGGGGAGAGGAGAGACGAAGGTGGAGGCGAGGGAAAAGACCAAGATCGCAATGGCGATGTCCAAAATAGTCCCTTGCTGATGTCCAATCAATGTCTGCCTCAGAAATGTCAAATCAGATCCTGGGCAATGCGCCCACCGTAACCTCTGCCTGGATCCTCTGCTGGTAACCTCTCTGACTCTCGTATCTGAAGAAGAAGATGAAGAAGGACGAGGGAGGAGGGAGGAATGAGGAAGAGAGAGAGAAGAGATGGAGGATGAGGAGGAAGAAGAAGGTGCTGTCCTCCTCGCTGTCTTACCTGCCGGTAACTGTCGTACTAACTATGGTTCGTCCTGTGCAGGTACCGCGCAGAGCCCTAGCTATGGCGCCAGGTAAGCTCGCCACTGCAGATAAGCCGTCGCTCTCTCTCTACCTAATGCGCCTCTCCTCCCTAGCTCAGTAGCACAGCGCTAAGTAGCGCAGCCTCCAACCAACAACGTGTCGCTCAAGAAGTGAGCTTCCCAACTGTCCAGTACCCAGCGTGAGGCCCAGCTATATACTGCGCTGGGCTCTACTGCGTAGGCTGCTGTGTGGCCTAGAACGGCCCAGCCGGTCTGGGGCCCTACCGGATATGCAGCAAGGCGCGAAAGCGCCTGGCCTCGGAAAGGCCTGGTCCCGGTGTACCTGGCCCAAGGTATTGCCTTGGGGCCTGCAGGTCCGAAATGTCGTCTGTACCAACGAAAGTAGGCCAGCAGTCAGGCACCAAAACGCGCCTGGCCCCGGAAGGGCCTCGTTCCGGTGTACCTGGCCCAAGGTGCTGCCTTGGGGCTAGTCTGAAACGGTGCCTGAACT